GTGAGTGGATCTTTGGTAGTACAGATGAGAAGAGAGGTTTCTGTTCATTTACTGCCTATACACTGTGGTACAGTATTCCTGTAATCGTCATAACACTAGCTGCTATATCATTTGATCGGTTTCTCTTTATTGTCAAGCCACATCTTCACAAGCGGTTCATGAGACCCTGGGTAGCACTGACCCTCACCATTGCCATATGGATACTGTCTGCTGTAACAACTTTTACTCCATTCATTGAAGGATCTGGTGCTGTTTTTATGTATGAAGGAAGTCACGGTACATGTACAGTAGTAATACTGGAGCTTCAATTTGCCATAGTTTCCTTTGTGGGATCATTACTAGTAGTGGGTATTATCATTGTTACTTCAGTCTGGACCTTCTGTTTTGCTCGCAAATTCATACACAATCAGTCAGAGATATCAGGAGACAATGTCTATGCATCTAAAAAAAAGAGACTTTTTGGAATATTTGGGGCTATGCTAATTGTGTATGGGTTGTGTTTCACTCCTGGTATCATCAACTATGCTGTGGTTCGAGCAATTTTTGTAGCAGATAAAATATATTTGGCTGTCGTTATCTCGTTTATTTTTGTCACTGTACTAAGCCCCATCGTTCAGTCTTATTTCAGACCAGAAATTAAGAATAAAATTGTCGTTATATGTAGGAAAATTTTACAAAAGCCTCCTCAAAGGGATAGAGTCAATTATCCTGTGAGTTCTAATGACAATTCATGTGGAAGCAAGACAGAAACGAACCGAATGAGAACCTCTACACAGTTAACAATGAGTTTGGATAATGCATTGAACACTGAACATTCATCAACAACTGTGGTATAAGGAAGATTTTTGAACTCAATTAATTAATCTTATTAGTAGTCTTTTTATGTACAATGTAGATCTAGCTAGTGAAACTTTACCATTATTGTTTGTTTTATAGAAAAAAGAAAATCAAATTAAGATCTGAGTCACGACTGTAGTAAGAGCCATAAAGATGCCAAATAAAGATTATGTCAGTAATGAAGCTAATGATACAGTGATGTAATGCACTTTGTAATGCTATCAGTACTGTTTGGTCGTTTAGATAGTACCAAAACTAGTGAAATTGAAGTTAGTAACAGCAACTGTCGACAAGTGCAAAGTGATTAACAGTTTGTTTGCATTATAGTAACAAACTTTACTTTTAATTCATGTCTGAACCTTGTACTCTATGCCCTCTTACAATGAGCAGGACACTGAACTTTGTCCTGTTTGTAGAGGTCATGAGGTTCCCAGTACTTTTCTACTTTGTAAAGTCTTTTTGTTATTCAGACGGTATATTCAACAGTGCCCTTATTTTAGGACTGTATTTTTCTATTAATGTTAATTTCTTTTCAGTGTAGAATTAAGTTCTAATAAATGTATTATTCACAGCTGCTAATATTGAGTGTTGCTAAGACAACAAGACCACGTATTTACAGTCTTCGGCTAATTTTCTGTTCTTAAATTTAGCTGCTTTAGTGGAGCTAGTTACCAATAGCGACTTGTTCTGTTTCTGTTAGCTTCTTGTATGAATCTCTACTTCCAACCTCCTTGTTGCAAATTGTTGCTGGTTGACCGGTCATGATAACAAACCACATGTACAACTGATTGGAATGGGTGGAGAGTTTCATATAATTATAAGTAAAGTTGCTTTCCATTGCCTTGCAATACTGGTACCTCCATGCAAATTGATGCAATTTAGTTTTATTAGCTATATACTTTTACATGCTTTATAACAGCACAAATAAGAAATTGATGGAATACTTATTTACTATTTGTCTAATGTTGCATTACTACGTATCAAATGAAGCACCATGGTGCGTGGACTCGCCTGCTGAGATTCACCTGAGGGATAATGTGTTACTTGTACTGCCCCCATCATGATATTATATATATACCGTAATTTGCCTTTTTTTCGTTGTGGAAATATTTTCGTATGGTCCTAAAATGACGAAAATATTTCAATCGAAAATTTTTGAGCAACCAAAATTTGTGACCTAATTAATCAAAGAAAGACTAAGGTACGGCCTGATAAGTAGGTATCTTCTTGCAGCTCTAACCTTGCTCTATCCACTGGTGCTTGCTCTACTTCAATCAGTTGCTTCACTACTGAGTTATAAAATAAAACGGTCCACCATGTGATAAAAGTAGCCATTTAATGTTTCCGTTTATTATCCGTAAATTGGTCATTGTTGCATCTCCAGTACTATCCGTATACTAGTAATGTCGGGGAACAGCCAGGTCAAGAATCTCTTATCTCAAAGAATTATAAACACTACTATAGCGGCGTTGTTACCAGCAGGTAAAGGACAAGGTATATGCAAGAGAAGCTAAATTTTCAGACTGTAAAAAATTTTCGTACATTGAGAAGACGAAAATATTCCGGGCCCACTTGAATTTTTCTGAAACGAAAAATTTTTGTACGAAAAAAAGGCAAATTACGGTATAAGCATAGATACTATATACCCCTGGATACGAAACTCCTCTATGCACACATATAAAATCCCATAAGGAAACGTCATAAACGTCACATCCGGCTGTCCTCACCCTTGTTTCGCTGCATTCATGGCTGCCAGGGTAAGTAAAACAATCACAGTAGCCTATTCGTTTGTTAAAGTAGCTGAATGATCCCTCAGAGGACTTTGCAAAGCCTTTATATATTGAAATAATGCTCATAAACGATAGTTTGAGTGCATATTTTAGTTCTACAATGGATGTCATAGCCTACTTGTTGTGTACATTTCACTCAAGCCACTTTTTTAGCTTAACTCTGTTGAATTAGGCCAACATTTTTTATTGCACTGATAGGTTATTGTTTACTAGTTGTAGTGGGGCTATTATTTAGAGTTTGTGTTAAGTAAAAGAGCTGTTATTTTCTAAATCTTGGTTTTTCAAGCCCCACCTTTCTAGCCAATTTTTTTTTGTAATATTTGACTTAATTGGAACATTTTCTATATGGTTTTGTAGCTTGAGAATAGGTAGTTGTAGTGGGCCTATTCTCAAAAGGAGTGTATTTTTAGTTTTGGTGCAATTGTGTTGTCAAAATCATCATTTTTAGGTGACAAGAGATGGGAAAGTCATGCATTGGTAGACTGCATAATACTAAAAGAAAAGGAAAGTTTCAGCAATTATAATGCATGATTAATGTCAAGTTTTATTGTATTATTGTACATAAAATCACACTTTTATTAGCAATAATAATAATACCTTTATCATTGTTTTATTTTTATTCTGAATGAAAACGTAATATTATGACGTATTTCCGGTGAAACAAGCCTCAGAACATCCGGTCGGGCCGTGTTTCATATCCAGGGGTATATAGTATCTATGGTGCCATCGAGGGGTTCGCAACGGGCTTGTAATCTCGTAGAAACTCTTTGGTAATCCAGTAATCCAAAAGATAATCTTGGAATAATCCAGTAATCTTGGAAGAATTCAGTAATCTGTAATCCAGGATTTAACAAATTTACTGAAAAATCCTAATAATAATTTTGAGTATCCAAAATTAAAACCCCACCCCTTGGTTTTATAAAAAGTTATTAAAACCACACCCATTATTAATTAATAAGGTGTGGCTCAAAACCAAATTAATCAACTTGTAATCCTTGGTAATCCAAGTAATCCAGCTTGTAATCCTTGGTAATCCAAGTAATCCAGCTTGTAATCCCTGGTAATCCAAAGAATCTACCTATAATCTTGGTAATCCACTCATAATCTTGGAATTCTCCTGGTAATCCAGTAATCAATTGGTAATACTGGTAACTTGATTTTTGTAATCTCGTAGAGATTTTCGTCCCGTTGCGAACCCCTCGGGTGCCATAGATATTAGAGTTACAGGGATAGGAAACTTCCGTTCGCGGGAAATCAAGCTACCTTCCCCATACCGTATTAATTCTTTCTAATTGTCAGTATCTTTCATTTTTACACTGAGTAGAGGTGGGCGATACCAGAAATTTTGAATCGATACCGATACCAAGTAGTCTGAGTCTCAGTATCGATGGTATCGAGTAGTGAATGAGTAGTCACTACTGCGCATGCGCAAATAAGTTATAATTAGTTATAAATAAAAATGAAAAGAAATAACCCACCATTTTTGTAATTATTAAAGGGCGTGGCCACAACTATGACGTCAAAAATAGGTGTGGTAGGGCGTGGTTACTCACTACTCGATACCAGGATTTGGTATCGAGTACTTGGTATCGGAGGCCTGGTATCGGATATATGAGTACTTTGGTATCATATCGCCCACCTCTAACACTGAGCAATGGTGGCTAGTTTTTGATGTTGCAGGTCTTTCTCATCGTCTTTCAGCCTGTTCAGGTCCACTGTATCAACTTTAAAATGAACTTGTAATGGAGCCATGTCTGTATTCTTCCTTTATTTTAGCTATCTGATGTTTATTTTATTATTTGGCTCCTCAAAATTAGAATGTTGATGATGCATCACTTTATTTCATGTGTCTCAAACAAAAATTTTTTTGAGGTACTTAGAGTATTTTAAAACAACTGCTAATGGGTGGAAGACCCGGGATAGGTTATAGACTTTCTGTAGATGGGGCCCTTTAGGCACTAGAACGTCCAGTTCTTGAGATAGGCGTTTAGAAGCAAAACACAGCAAATTTGCTTTTTGTGTGTGTAAAACACCACCAAAGTGACGCACAGGACTGCTTCGATGCGGAAGACCTGGAGGACTGCTTGTAGAATAGGTCTAACTTGCTAATCATGAAGTATTTAGAAATGTGTTTGAGATACAGATGTAGAAGTGCACAACAAAAACTTCGGCGTCATTTCATGAAGATGTGATGATTTATAAAGTTGGCAGACTAGTCTATCACAGTTTAAGTTGAAGCACTATTCTAGAGCAACAAT